CAGGAATGCAGTGGGAGTAATGGGGAGCCCAGGGGCAGTGGGGTTCCCACCCAGAAGAGACAAGAAAGGGAGAAAGGAAAAGAGAAGAGGGGCTGGGGCTGAGGAGGCGGAAAGGAAGCGAAGGAAGAGAGCAGAGGCTGGGGATCCTGAGAGAAGTGGCCCAAGAAGAGGAGGAAGGGTATTTGGGGCCAGCAGATGGTGTGGAGGTTAGGGCAGTTGGATCCTACATGGCCAACAGTGTGGTTCAAGTCCTGGAACTGGGAACATGAAAAACACAGTAGGTGCATGTGCGTTTATGCCCAAAATCCAGAGAGGAGAGTAGAGGTGAAGGGACTGTGGAGTGGCCATACGCTGGCGGGGTGCTTCCTCACTTCCTGTCTCTCAGAATTCACCTACAGGCTTGTTCCTGTCTCCTCCCTGAGAAAAGCTCACCTTCCAGAAGGTTCTGCACACAGGGACTGGCAGGTCACTGTGCACTCTCTCCCTCAGGGCCCTTGGTCCCAGCCTATGCTCTGACCATAACTAAAGGCTTTGTCCTCCGATTTTGCCACCCCCAGGGGATGAAGGAGGGATTTTAGGCAGAGGGCCTTCCTCCACACCCTGGGCTCTGAGATGGGCCCTCCCAGTGGGCGGCGTGCCTAAGTGAACGGAAAGGTGCATACTAGGGACCTGCAGCTGGCTGCAGCAGAGAGCGGGTGGTATTTGTCCCTGCAGTAGAGCCAGGGGTCCAGACGCCTGGGTCCGTCCTGTCTCTAGCCCTTGCTATGAGGTCTTGGGTAGTCAGCTCGTGTCTCTGAACTGGAAATGATCATCTTGGTGTGGACGCTGATGGCCGTGCAGGGTGTTGTGAGGTCTGGTTAGACAGAGGATGTGAAACTGGCTTGTGAACTGCGACGCGCAGCTCGGGCAGCGAGGACCTGTGATGTACGACGTGACTACGTACTCGGGAGTTTGTCTGGAGGGTCTGTGCGTGCACGGGCAGGATATGAGTCTGGCCCTGTCGGCACAGGGCGGTGGGGCTGAGAGTCAGGAGTTTCTGGTCTGTCCTTAACTGCCTGCAGGACCTTGGGCAAATCCCTGCTGCCTCTGACCCCAGAGTCCTCAACTACAATGGTAGTCCTATGCTTCCTCCATCCAGGCACCCAGCCTCCCCCTCTGTGCCAGGCAGGACCAGGCCTGACTCTCCCCAGGGCTCCAGGTGGACAGTGGAGGAGAGAGTCAAGAAGAAATCACCGGAGAGGCAGGGCTTGGACAAAAAATGGGGGAAG